CAATCGATTGCTGTTGTAAGGATCGACCCAATATTTCCGATTCTATACAAATAGATACGTTACTACATCGGCTACAATATTGAAGCGCTGCAGAAAATCGATCTTTACACATACGAACTAGCAATTGTCGCGCTACTGTAGCGCAACGGAAGCGCTACAAAATGTAACTCGTGTGAAAAAGCTCTAAAGGCCATCGTCGGTTATAGTTGGTTCCTAACGTTTCGATAGCACGAGGGGCCAACTTCTTCAAATGTCATTCCATCTCCTATGCTGGATACGAGTCAACAACTCCAACCGATAACGGCCTTTAAATCCGAATCAGAATAGCATTAGTTCATGATGGGTTAAATCTCATAGTTATAGAATGATTGCGTATGGATTAATTACACAGGTCTGCGAAATTTTTTTTTTGAAAAGTTTTTTTCTTAAATTGTTAATATTTGTGGTAATTGTCTTAAAAGTAATAGAAAACGATATTCATATGGTGTATACCACATCACATTAACCCACAAATGCTCAGAGAACACATTTCCATTTGAACCCTTGCCACGTAATGAGTGCGACGAAGAAATATTCGATAACCAGTGTCTCTATGTTTTTAACGATACTCTTTTCGATGGTGTTGGTTAAAGATACCTCCGACAATATTAAAGCATGGAAAAATAAAGAAAAAAAACTGATTTTTGAATTGATTTTTTTCTTAAAAAGTAATTTTTTGTGTCCTTACGACTTTTTTATATGTTTGAAACCTATATAAATCATGACCTCGATATCTAAACATGAAATAATCACCGTTGGTCAAGTCGAAATGCCATTACAAACTGTTTGATCAAACCAAGTTTAATGTAAAGTGGTGGAAGCAATACTTTCTTCTTTCAAACTCGTATTGATGACATTTTTCACTCCGACTTCCAATTTCATTCTAATTTGGACATAGAAATACCGAATAACAATGATTTTGATTTACCATAAGTCCACTGTCTTAACACTTCAACACATAACCGGCATATTTTATCGTACAGTGCATGATACCCATG